TGAGTAGCTGGGACCACAGGCACCTACCACAACACCCAGCTATTTTTTTGTTGCAGTTTGGCCGGGGCCGGGCTTGAACCCGCCACCCTCGGCATATAGGGCCAGCGCCCTACCCACTGAGCCACAGGCCCCACTCACATACATATTCAATTTTTTTTAAATCTTTTCAGTCATTGACCTGCTTGCTATGTATTAGTTATTACATAGTATAGTGTTCTGCTTTAGTTCTCTGCTCTGGGACCTCACCAATTTGTTCTCATCTCTTGTAGGAGAAATCTTTGAATTAAAAGCTGAACTCAACAATGAAAAGAAAGAAAAGAGGAAGGAGGCTGTGAAGAAAGTGATTGCTGCTATGACTGTGGGGAAGGATGTTAGGTAAGGATAATTATGCCTGCCAATGGTTATTTTGGAGATCTATACCCATTTTATGCCCTTTACTGCTTTTCCTTTAAAACTGTTATAATTATCACATTTTAAAAAAGTGGAGAGACAGTGTTCCTTTTGCTTCCTGCAACGCCCACAAGCACTGCCACTGAAACATTCTTTAAGTTTATGCTTTTAGAGTTTGAATAATTTCAGTTACATCCTGCTTTGGTTCTGTAACAGCTGCTGCTATTCACAATTCAGACTTTCTGAAACCCTGCTGTTTGTCCTTTACTGTTCCCAGAAGTGACTGATGGGAGTCCTGAGAGCTGTATTTGGCAGCATAGCCCTTGGTGAAGAAGAGAATGACTTTTTAAAGGGCCCAGCTCTTTTGGTTGTGCTATTTCGCAGCTATCTATTAAATAACAATTTTGTAAACAGTTTTTTTTTGCCTTATTGGCAATGCATGGTGATGAAGCAGCTTTTTTAGTGCTCTGCTTCTATGTGTCAGTTTCATCCTTCTCATGTAGGGACTTGGGGCAGATCACATAGTGTTCTGTCACCACTAGTTCTATACCGATGAATGAGGTCTGGTTAAAAGGAGCATTAAGAACAATCTTGAAGGTAGAGGAAAATGAGGCAATAGTGTAGAAGAGTTTGAGTGTAGAGACGAAAGGATGCTATGGGAGTAAATAACCTCTTTTTCACAGATGTAGTTGTGTGGAGTGATTTTCCCCTTTCTTTTAAAACAAGTTGAGCATTGTTAACTTTGTTTTTGTTTTGGCTCCAGCATCTTGAAGATGGGTGAGGCTGGAGCCTTAAAATGGTGGTACAGTCCCTTAAATTTCACAGTGCAGGATCTAAGCAGTCATTCAGGATTATACCTTTAGAAATGACTGTGATTCATACCCTTTTTGAAGCTTCAAGATTAATTCTTATTAGAGGGATTGAATAGGATGGGGCCTTATGGCCCATTAACTTATTAAAGTACTGATTATAGTAGTTATTCTCAGCCCTGGTTGTACATGAGAATCACTTGGGGAGCCCTCCTTGACAGCAGCTGGTCCAGACTGGGGCCTACGCATTATTATTTGTAAGTACTTCCCAGGTAACATTAGCATGGCCAAAGTTGAGATTCAAGAGTCAGGAGACACAGTGCTAAGCCCAGCTTTGTCACTAACTTACTCTGTGACCTTCAAGCCTCATTTCTTTATCTGTATAGTTGAGAGTGGGTAAATAAGATTAGATGCAGAGTCTCTTCTGGTTGGAAACACTACTTTCTGAGCCTCTCCTTGCCTGCATATTCTTCTCAGGACCTCAAAATTCAGATGGGAGATCATTCTTCAGATACTCTTCTCTCCCCGTTGTCATTAGATATCATGAGATTTCCTTTTTCCACTCCTTTGGGTCCTAAAGATCTGGATTACATTTGGATGTCCTTAGTGGGTCAGTTTATACTGTAGGGCTTTGAATTTTACATATTCAACATTTATTTTTTTTATAGCGATAGAGTCTCACTTAATCGCCCTTGGTAGAGTGCGGTGGTGTCACACAGCTCACAGGAATCTCCAACTCCTGGGCTTAGGTGATTCTCTTGCCTCAGCCTCCTGAGTAGCTAGGATGACAGGCGCCCGCCACAACACCCAGATTAGTTGTTGGCTATCAGCCTTAGCTACACAATAGAATTGCCCAGGTGCCCAGGAAGCTTTATTTTAATTTTTTTCATTGCACGTTAATATGAGGGTACAAATGATTAGGTTACAGTGTTTGTGTTTGTTAGGGTA